TCCTCTGTTGCGAAAAAACGAAATTACTTTCCGAACAACCCAATAGTTCTATGTATATATTACATACGTCAGATGAGATGAAACAAATATATTCCCGATTTTATTTTAATTAATTTTCTTAGTATAATTTTATAGAAAATCTATAAAAATTGTAAAAATCTTGGGAATCGGATTTATTTAAATAAATAGTTTCCTACAGTTGTCTTTCTTTAGACAGTTTAAATTGCGCATGGTTAAAAACCTTCCTAAAGTTAGACAGTTAATTAAAGTTTCCATCAGTTCCTCCAGATTACGTTCATTGTACAACCATTACAGATAATGATCGATCTTTGGCCACGGTCTTAAGTGCGAACAGATTAAAGAATCGATCCTAACGCGCATATATGTCGGTGCTTGTCGAAGTCCTCTTCATTATCGTGTCCTCTCTCTAGATTAATGTCTCAACGGCCAGACAAGAAGAACGTCGATCCGATACGAAGCTACCTCACTCCCGCGGTGCTTGCAGGTTCTCTCACGTGAATCAAATAATCGACTGCAATGCACTACGGAATTGAGGATGCAACGCATCCTTACACTTGCATTCCTTTACAGTATTCTCTCTCTCTCCCTCTCTCTCTCTCTCTCTCTCTCTCTCCCTCTCTGTCTGTCTCTTTCTCTTTCTCTCTGTCTTTCGTTCTACCCGAGGAACTCCTTTCGCTTTATCTTGTCCTTCCAATACCTCGGATCCCTTCAGTCCGCTTCATTTCTTCTCGTATGCAGCATCGGCCTCGCCATTGTGCTGCCGAGGCACCCTGGTTTCTCATCATTTTCCAGATAAAAGTGCGCTTTATTCTTTCATTCTTCTTCATAGCGACGAATTCCTCACGCGAGACACGCCAATACGCACAAAGCCGGGGGATGCTCGCTGCTCGATCGGGGAAACGACAGCCGGATGAATTCGCGAGCGAATCATCCCCCGCTCGTCCCTGTGTCCCGAATATTATTTTCACTATGATCTTCATTCACCGACACTCGGAGCGTTTCTCTGTGTCTGCGTCGGAGTACATTGCCGTAGAGTATTGTATTAAATCTACCTATATCAAATTTTTCCACGAGTTATCGCGTCACAAAGAATAACGTTCGCTTGCAAGCGTGAATGAAAGATGATCGATATATGCAAAGCGTATAGTTAAATTTAACAATATAAAGAAGAAAATATCGCACATTCATAAGAATTCAACATTCAAGAATATATTTTACAGTAAAAAAATTGCATAAAAAGAAAAATTACTAAATGATAAATAATAAAGGGAAAAAACATTCGCTACTTCTTTTTACTACAGCGTGAGTATAACAAAGCATACTGTTGATTATCTTGAAATATAAAGAATCTGTACGAGCTTACACAACATATTCAACGTATGCAGTAATTTTATTTTCCATACCGTAATATTAAGTATTATATTAAATAACAATCGTACATTAAATTATAAAACTTATAATCATAACAAATTTAAATTAATCGCAGATTATAGATTTTCTGTTCGTGACATATATTCACAGACAATATCTTTTTTACATCATAATTATATTAAATAAAATTCTTATATTTGATATATAAAACCTGTGATAAAATTAATCGCAGATTATTTTCTGTTTGTGACATATCCATGGACAATATCTTATTGTTACACTATAATTAAACGAAATTCTCATATTAAATAAATAAAACTTGTAATCACACGTTTAAATTAATCGCAGATTATAATTATTTTCAGTTTGCTGTATAGCCATAAATGATATCGTAAGCATTCTCCAGAATGAAGCATCGTCCAGAGTTACGAGCCATCATCGCCGTTGCGTAATAACAGATGTGGGATATAATCATAAAAGTAATTTCGCGACGATGATCCAAGACGAGAGAGCTCTCAATCTGTCGAATAAACGCAATACCGCTAAAATAAGCACAAATTCTACTTGATATACGATATATTACGCATTCCAGCTTGCGCAATCTCCGTATTACTCGTAACTTCGTACGATTCCATATCTTATCCAACGTGAAGCTTCTATTCCAGCTGTGTTTATGGATTATACGTTTATTATAATATCGCATCGGAAAAGAATTTTCGATATATAAACGTAAGATCGAAATTGAAATCTTCAAAACTAGAGAATTCATCGGTTTCTTCATTTATTCCTGCACGAATTCCTGCAGAATTAAAGTAACGTTGTAAACTCCTAATCGTAAAGCACCACATTGTGCGATCGAGATTGAGAAACGTTTTCCCCTTTTCTTCTCCCCCGCATTTAAATTCCGCATATTACAGCCGCGTTTCAATAACGCGAGTGCGCCACGAGCGAAGGAGTTCAAACTCTCGTCTGAATTTTCCGCGACGATATCCAGAGATGAAAGATCGAAAACTAAGCTGCTTACGCGCGAGTAGTGATGATAGTGGTGGTGATGGTGCTGCACACCCCCATGCGTTGTCAGTGAAGAGACAAGCAAGAGAAAAAGCGCTCTGTAAAAAGTAGCAAGAGGATTCAACGTGATAGCAAAGGAAGCAACGACGGCTCGTTCTCTTTAATCCGGCTGAAACGTCGGGTAGTTACGGCTTTTTATTCGACAGTATAATAGCGGCCTTTCTGTAAGAGGTCCCATGGAACAAAAAAAAAAAAGAAAAGAAAAAAGAAAGAAAACGGAAAAATCGCAAGTGGATCGCGTACCATCGCGTATCACGAGATTCACAACGTCTCTCATACGTGCTCTATCTCCGACCGATCGCACCTTACGGAAATTATGGAGCTTTCACACTTTTAATTAATCCTATACATCCGCATTATCTCGAGCGAGAGAATTTATTTTTCACAAAAATTTATATCCCTCTCTTATTAATGCACGGCGTGTGTACAAATTCTTTCTCCGAGAAAGAAATTTTTCTCTGGTATACGCGATATCTTCGCGCTCTCTTATCGAAAATTGGAATAGACATATTTATCTTAAAGCGCAGCAAAGCCAAACTGTTCAAGAGAACCCGAAACTAGGTCAGACCTTTATACACACAACCGGCAATATTACAGAATTCAACAAATCCGGCCGAATCCCTATCTGAAAATTTATCGTTGGATGCAGTCCCGCTCTGTTGATCTCCATATCTGTGATCCGTATATTGGTTCGCGTTTACACTTCATCTGAAAGTCTCTCGCTGTATTCGCAATCAGAAAAGCGTCTCCGCGAGCGATCGATCCGCTCTTTTGTTACAGACACCCGTTCCCGCTCTATCCCCAATCCCCACGCTAAAAGCTGCGAGGAAGTGATGGTAGGGGAAAGGGGTAAAAAGGTGGGAGGGTGGAGGAGTAGAAGAGTTTTCTTGCGAAGGAGACCAGCATCGCGACACAGCCACGCGAAATCGCGACCACTATAAAGTCGCCGCATCGAGCTCTCAGCTCTCGGCTGCGCGGAATGTGATTTTTTTTTTTCTCTACCTCCCTACCGCCTTTCAACCCCCCTTGACTGTACTCCGCATTGAAATTAGCTCTAACCAAAGGTATAGAGCATGGACCACGCTATCCGTATCTAAATGGAATACCTTGACGTGGTCAAGAAAAATGAAAGAGAGGAGAAGCAAATAGCCAATTTCCCTCTCTTTCTAACAACATTACACCGTTGAAGAGAGAGAGAGAGAGAGAGAGAGATTAGTTATCTTCGCGTTCTATTTCTTTCATTTTTGTCGACAATTGTACACACGATTACGTAGTTCGTCCTCTATACTTTTGGCTCTAACAATCTGACAGAAATCATGGTCGGAATGAAATTATCGCTCACAATCGCTATAATCTTCTTGCGCTCTCTTTGCATTTTATATTTCAGCTGTACTAGAATAATCGGAAAGAATGGGATGAGAAAGAGGGATGAAAGATATACGCTAATCAGTGAGATCGCGTAATATCGCGCATGGATCATTCATGAGATAACCTTGTACTGTTAGATAAATTTAAAGGTCTCCATCTCTCAACTCTCTGTATTTTTCACGAGCAAGAAGCTTAAGCAAGCAATTAAGGTCAACACGTCTCTCTCTCTCTCTCTCTCTCTCTCTCTCTCTCTCTCTCTCTCACACACACAGCGCAGAAAAGTTCATCCAAATTCCAAATGTGAGCGATAGCACTTACTAAGGTTCTTTGTGATGCAATACGAGGAAAAGATAATAATTTCTAGATGAATAATTCTACTTTCACGAGAGCTCATTACACCTTGTTATCTAGACTCTCTGCCGAATTACCGCGTCGTCGTGTACAATATAGGTGTAGTCTCATGTCCAGCGAGAGAGGTAGAGCGGATCGCACTGTAAATAGAACGCTCGTCGGAATCGGCTAAACGTAATTTCGACGGAAGCGGAACATCATTTGCGAAACTCTGTGAATGTATCTAACAGGCCCGTGCTCGTGCGTCGGACGAAGAAAAAAAAGTTGGCGAGCCAGCGCGTGCACGCATACCTACATATGTATCTTACTTGTCGCGCAGAATTATACGCGCGCGATGTCATTGTCACGTGTCCGATTGTAACGCACCGATGCTGCATTCCCGAATGCTCCAATAATCAGATTATCACGAAATGAAATTGCGCCTCTCTCTCTCTCTCTCTCTCTCTCTCTCTCTCTCTCTTGCCCTCCCCTCCCCTCCCCCTACCCCTCTTGGTGGTTGGCGACGCGCTTTCGACCAAGTTGAGTAATCTACCTAAAATTGTACGGTGTTTCGTAACAGAGTCTCGCGAAAATATCACCGAACTTTTACGTCGTAAGATACATTCCGAAAAGTTCAGCTTATGTTTCCGTGGCGAATTTTGTATTCGACAATGGACCGTATGGCGCAGGATTTTCCAAACAGTGCATCGCAAGAGCTTTACGTATTTTCACATATTTTTCACGAGAGTTTTGTTTAGGATTTAGAATACCAGTGTTCCTATCTCAACCAAACAGAAGATACAAGTCCTGTGAAACGTAGATATCTGAAATATTGTTACAGGCTTTTTTAACATTATTTTCTACTCAAAAAAATAAAATGTACTGCAGTATTGACGGAAACATTTTCACAATCGTTTTCTTTAATCGTCGATTTTGTAGAATGTTTTAATCATAAAATTATTGGTAATTGTTTCATATCTTTTAAAAAACTATAAAAAGAATTTAATTTTTAGAAAGCGCAAAGAATATTCGAGGGCAACAATATAATTTTGTAAATCATATTATTACTTTACCCAATTATTACTCCTATGATATATATGTATAAAAAGATAATTACAATTTAAAATAGACCGATGAGAATGAATCTAATTGAATAAGGGAAATCCAATTTTTCAATCAAAATAAATTTTAACACTTAAATATTTCTGTGTGCATTTATATCAGACATGTTTCGTATATAAATTCATACAGAATATTTAAAAAAAGTAATATATAATATATAATATATAAAGAGTATCATATATTAATATAGATAAAAAAAAGTCACATTTATAGTAAAATTAATTATCAGCAAAAAAGTAGAATTCTTTGTAAAACAGTCATTACCAACAAAGTGCTTTAACATATAGTACGACTACGTACTTCAGCAGAGAAAGCAGTTTTGCAACTGTTATTAAAATTCTTCAATATCATTGGTTTATACATTTAGAGCCACAAAGAATCACAAGCAAAATTCAATCGTATCGCAGAATTTTACAACAGTAAGGCTAATTGTAAAGCTACTTTCTCCGCTGAGTGCAGCTATTTTTTACATTTTTCCTCTACTTGGGTGAACAAGAAAAATCTTGATACATTCTAGCAACATTGCAGCAACATCGTAACGTTGCTACAACGTTACTGGGACGTTTCAAGATGTCTCTTGCTTATTAGGCAGTACGAGCATTCTTTAGGATAACGTCCGAGTAACCACTTACCGTGAGGAGCTTTGGGCACATAGAGGTTCAAATACAAGCAGTCTTCGCTCTGATTGGCCAGTGCTGGCACCAGCCTTTTAAAGTAGGCCTGTCTCTGCCGCGGCAAGCTCTCGTCCAGTACCGGTGGCCGCTGCGGGCAGGCCGGCGGCATGGTATCGGCGAACTTGATGCCACGCCAGGGTGTCGGGGTAACCGGCGGCATGTAACGCAGCGCTCCGAGTGGCGGCGTCGCGTACGGCACGCCGTAATAAGTCTCGACGGCCGTCGACGATCTAGCCTCGATGCCGCGCAGGATACCGTATCGTGTTTTAATTGTTCTGGTACAATACTTCTGAGTGCCGGCCAGAGCCTCGGTACCTGCCAGGCAGCACTGGACGCATAGCAGCGCCAGCAGGAAGACGCTTTTGGCGATACCGCCGTCGGATGGGACCCTTCGAGGGATCCCTTTACTCGCGATATCCTTCGCACTTCGTCGTCGTCTTTCTTCTTTATATTCCCCGTCGTCGCTTCCCTCGTCGCATTTCCCTCCTTTCCGCTTACCTCGTTCGCAGCGTCGTTCACCCGGGGAAATCCCGTTTGTTTGCCGATTCCCCAGCTTCCCAGGAACCTCGTGATACGTCGAGCAAACATCCTGTCCCCGGTGAAGAATATTGTACCGCGTTCGATACGATACGATAATATCGAGCTGCGGAAGACAGTGCTGTCGAGAGACATGTTTAACTGACGGTCGCCGGTCGCCGGTGAGAAGGACGGTGTCGGGAGGCGAGAGGTCGTCTTTCCTCTTCCTCTTCCTCGGCAAAGAGGAGGAGGACGTCCGCATCGCGTCACGCCGCCGCGGACTGGCCCCTGCGGGCCCCGCATCTGTGGGGCCCTCCTACCGATGGACGACCCCTTTCTTCTTCCGCTTCCGATTTCCGCTTTCCTTTCCCGTTCACCGCAGCCGCCGCCGCCGCCGCCTTCTTGCCCGTCCCTCGGCCCTCCGTCCTCGCCGCCGCCGCCGCTGCCGCCGGCAATTTTTTGCGCTTACCCTCCTGTACCCCTTTCCGCACCGCCGCCGCCGCCGCCGCCGTCGCCGCCGCCGCCGCCGCCACCCTTATCCCGTCGCTACCGTCCACCCACTCCCACAGCTTCCGGTACGGTTTGCCGCCACCTCCAATCCCGCACCCTCCAAGCGGCTTGCGCTTCTCGTCCGCCGTTTCGAATTCAGAATAGCGACTCGGTACTACTATCGCGCTGCTGCCGCCGCTGCTGCCGCTGCTGCTGCTGCTGCTGCTGCTGCTGCTGCTGCTTCTGCTGCTGATTGGCTCCGAGCAAACTCTCACTTCCATTCTCAGGTGGATACGTTGCCCGCGTTGACGCTGAGCTGCCAATCTGGCGACTGATCGTCGTTATCGCGCAACACGACGCTTCGATGACGATCGACGGGCTCGAATCGTCGGCAGTGAATGATCCTGATGGAATCATCGGCGCCCCAGGCGTATACGATCGTTCGATGCACCACCCTCGCGAGTCGCCGACTCGCGCGGAATCCTCAACGTCCTCGTCGCTAAGAATCGTCTCGGGAAAGACGACGATTCTTCGATCCTCCGAGTTTCTGTTTCTCGCTCTCGCCGGAAACCACCTGCTTTCATCTCTCGCGCCCCCTTAACACGCTGCAACAACACGTAAAGGACGGTTCGTTAAGTTTGTGGTTTCCCTGAAAATTAATTTCACGTCAGATTCAATTAACTCGATGACAGTCGCACAAGTATATAAATGTATATAAACTTCGGACAGATCTCCGTCGTATGTATAATTTAAAATTTTACGAAAACAGACAGCTGTTCCTCGTACCCGAGAAATGGCGCGTAAATTGCTACGGTCTGCCCAGTGAACTGGAAAAATGTATGCTCGATATACTTTCGAGGGGACGATCGTGCGTGAAGCATGTATATCGCCAACGACATCCTTTTCGCACCCCTGTCCTAATCCTCCATCGGTTCGGAGCAAATTTCGAACACATTCTTTATCCTCTACATTTTCTGTAATCATTTATTTCTTTATTCTGTCGGTTGTTCTAAAAATATACTTGTTTCGGACGTGTGTATTCTCCATTAAACAAATACGCTTCTAAATAAATGGAATATTCGAATTTTAGTTTATTGATTTTTCCTCGGGACGCCACATAATTTCAAAAACTGTTCTGTTTTTTTTTCGGTTTATTATAAAATAACAGGAAATGAAGTAGATATTTTGCTCTCCAATCTAGGATAATATATATTTCCATATATTATTGCGGTGAAAACTGACCCCATTGTGGTAATAGCGCAAATTTGACCGTTCCGATTGAGTATTAATATGCAGATGTATGCACCGACCCTTTGGATCGAATTTTCGGGAATTCAGCGACGCTGGACTTGAAATTTACGTTCGTTAAATCAGTAATTAATATACATTACGCCGGAACCTAGTAGTGAAAAATCGAATCGCACGGCCAGTCGCCCGACAAAATCTAATTAATTGCAATGACGATGTAGTTTGATTCGAATGAGTTGCTCAAACTGCTCGTATAACGCGAAATCCGATAGCATTCAACTGTGGCTATGCGAGAATTTCCAATTTCCAACTTGGGGTAAACTATACTCTATCCCTGGCCCTTGGTGTATTTGGTACTGCAGCTTTAGAAACATTTCAACTCCTCTTCCCCTTGTTCGGAGACAGAGAAAGGAGTCTGCGTTTAAATTATCACGAAGTGATTCAGTTACGCCTGCCATTGTCTTTTTCCAAACGCCAAGCGAAATAGCGTGAGCTGCGAAGGTCCCCACCTATGTGACGAAAGCGGCGTAATAGTTTTCGTACCTCGTCGAGCGTGCAATTGTTAAGACAAGTCATATAAACGTACACTTTTCTTACACTTGCTACTTTTACTTTCTGAAACTTCTGGTAAACGTGCCGAAGTAAGAAGTATACCATCTATTTTCTTGTGACAATGACAAATGAGTGTTATTATACTTACGAAATACAAAAAGGGGGCGTAAATGCGTACCAAAAATTATAATTAAAAGTCTTACTTATCTTTAATATTTTTCATCCGTTTAGTTTTTTTCATTCGTTTAAAGAAATATTTCGAGAAATACAGAAATCCGTCCATTAAAGAGAATAAATCGTTAACTGCCATAATATTTTCCGTGTCATTTATTAGTGCTATTCGTATACCTATCTGTAAAAGGAACTTTAGAATTATGAAAGCAAAGCTCGGTGAAATATAAATAGCGCGCCATATAAATACCTATTTGTGTAAACGTTCAAATGCTAATTATATACAATGTTGTATCCACAATTTAAATGTGTTTATACAAAATTTGATTAATTTCATGTTCTCTTGACGTGTGATAACTCGCACGTATATATTTACAGCAAATACGAATTTTTTTCTCGCGCTCCTTTCGATCGGGAACGTGCCGGCTATAGTTTGAAGTAAGTATTCCCGATTCTCGAGTTAGTCCGACTTGCTCCTTCTAAGTACTTTGCAGATCGGATTCCCCGAGGGTCTTTCGACAGAGCAGCGCGATGCCGACGCAACCTCGCAAGTTCAGAAAGAGGTGCAAACTATCATTGGATTACGCTTCGATTTCGCGCCATTCAAGCGAGCAAGCAAAAACGAGATGCCAATGCTGAATCATATAAGCGCGACAATCTGGTCTGGCGAGCGAAATTAAATTCCGGAGCTCGCGCTAATTGCAGCAGGAAGAAGGGAAGGGATGACCGGACGATTAATAATTCACCGACGGGGAAGATAAGTTCGAAGTTTCCAGATCCACGAGAAGAATCTACGAGAAATTATTGAGGCAGCAACGATAACGTGAAAGGTAGAACGGATCCTTAGCGAAAAACGCCGATATATTATCGCGGAAATTGCGCGAGTGCCGGCGTGACATTTTTGCACGGATCAACGAGAGCGTATCCTGCAAGAAATGGATGAGTCAAAGAGAATTGATGGTGATCCATTTTACAACATTACGAACCCCCAATCTTCGAAATTGAGGCTTAGCTTCATAACCATTCTCTCTCTCAATTCATTTCTATCATACTCTATCTTTATAATATATTAATTTTAACTGACGTGCGAAATATGGCTGGAATTTAAATATATATTATGAAAGTGCAAAGAGAAAGAAATAAGAGAATTCGAACACTTCAATGACAAAACTGATTTCTAAAAATGGAGATGTACTTAAAAAATGCATTACTGTAAAATTGCAATATTTTGTTGTTAGATTTATCGTCAAATTATTTCAAAGTTTTTACATAATAAAATATTCTATCCAATAACTAAACTAGAAATGATTGAAATAATCAAATATTATTTTATGTATTAATTATATTGTGCGCGATAAAAAATCCTATTCAGTATTTATAATCAGCCGCAAAAAAAAAAACGCGCTATCGTAACGTTTTAGTGACTCGATTTTTTGAGTAGGTGAGTACATTTATATTTCAACTTTATCTTAATTATAACTGATATATTTATTCGCAGTCTATAAAATTATATGCTCAAATTCAAAAGCTGTATTCAGTAAAAAATTGAATGAAATGGGAAACTAAAATAACAAGAACGTATATAAGAATCGCATAAAATAAATGTATGTGTTCTAGTAAATGCAAATTTTTTTAAAATATCAATTATTTATATTTTCTGTAAATAATATTTAATATGACACTCAATCAATATAAGTATAGTTAATAATCCTGAATATTCAATCTTCAAAAAAGTGGTCTACAAAATCTGAAAAGACTAACGATGAATTGTTTTCGCGATAATAATTGACGGAAATCTATGACGTAGTTGCCATTGTTGGTATAATTTTACTCTTTCCTGCAATATATGTGTACGCGACAAACTAATATTGATCGAAAACGATGCGCGGATTTCTTCAAATCTCGAAGTTATCATCGACAATGTTTCGAAGCCATATGTTTCAGATTTGTTGAACAACTGGAAAAAGTAAAGTTTACAAAAGCAATCAAATACAATTATTCACAGTGAATAATGTGTTTTTGCCGAGTGTGAGACCATGTCATTCGTTTAACTTATGAATTATTGAGCAGGAACATTTTGCATTATTTACAGGATAATCCGAAAAAATGTGAGGAACGCACCGGAAAACATCCAACTCCTTATCTAGCGTCGTCTCCTCGTATCACATAGTGCATAATGATATTCACTCGGGTATTCTCGATCAGATAACTTCCGTATCGGTCCAGATAATTTCAATTCTATCGCTCCGGCACCACACGCACCAACACGTAGCGCTTCGATCCATTCGACGTGGCTCGCATCACGTTAAGAGTCCGGAGTTGACGTTTACGCTCTTGAGAACAATGCCGATTCACGCGTCCGAGCGCAGTCCAAATCGCTCGAAGCGTCGTCAAGCCGCGATTGGAGCGCGGACGCGAGATATTTGCCGATTCACATACTCTCCGCTTAAGCACACCTTCTCGCCAGCTGTTGAATCGCGACGCGACGACGACCCGTCGCGAGACGGACTGCATGCAAGAGAGCGAGACTGCCGAAACCAGCCAATTCCGTACCAACAATCAACCCCCAGGACGACCCGCACCCTTCGTGTGCGCGATCGACTGTATCCCGGGCACTACTAACGCGCTGAGGGCTAGCAGCCGTGCGACCTCCGCGGAGGTGGCGGTGCTGGTGCCTGCTGCTCTTGCCGCTGATAGTAGTGATGGTGGTGGCGGCGATGGTGGTGGTGGTGGTGGTGGTGGTGGTGGTGGTGGTGGCGGCGGCGGCGGCGGCGGCGGCGGTGATGGTGGAGGTGGAGGATGGTCCGGCACTCGAGGAAGCCGGGACAGCCACGGCGCCGACGCCTGGTTTGATTCCGACCAGCGACGGCCCGGTCGATAGCACCACGGCAACCCCCGGGTCGTTCCGGCTTTCCTCTCCCTCTCTCTCTCTCTCTCTCTCTCTCTCTCTCTCTTTCTCTCCATTTCTATCCCCTTCTACTATCCCTCTCGTCGCTTTTGCCACCCCCACATCGAGGGAGCCTTCTATCCTGCTTCTTCCTCGGGTACGCGCAGCATCTTTTCTCCGACCGCCGCCGCCGGCTCGTGTTCCACATCCTCGCGGCTGCCGCTGCCGCCGCTGCGCCTTCGACACCCACGTCTCACACACGCCACCCTTCGCTCCTGTCTGTCCTCCCTCACATACGAGAAGGGCACGAGCGAAAGCTGCTTCAAGAGGCTGCTTGGTGTGCGAAACGAATTCTCTTTCTCCTCTCCCTCCCTCCCCCCCAC